CTTGATGCCGTCTGATCGTAGCATTTGTTGCTTTTACAACGTCATCTCTTACCTCAAGGCTTGCTGTATTACAGGACTGATCCGCCATCGATATAGTGTGCGTTGGTAGTTCGTTATGAGGACCTCGAGTTCAGAATGGTATATGAGGTCCCTGGTACGCCAACGCAGTAGAGAAAATACGTATGGTTTAGTGAGCGCTGGATAATGGTGTTTTTATTTACAAAACCCTGATCTTCGTATGAGTGACCTGGTCAAAAAATAGACCTTCACCGCATGCGTCAGTGCACTTGGTTAGCATGTTGGCTCCAAGAAGCATGAAGTAATTTAATGTTTATTTCTCGAGAATGCATCCGGCAATACGTGAAGTTCGGTCGCAAGAAATCTCATTTCGGCAATACATTACTGATGGGTATGAAGCCAACCTGTTTCTTCAGGTTATGATATTCCATCGAACGCACTTAGTCAATCCAACCCTTTCAGAGTCTGTCTACACCGAAAATTTCACCGTCGATGGATCAAATTATACTTAAAATACCGCTTAGAGATCTTGGATACACCCAATGTGTTTATCATGTTTTGTGGCCGAACCACTTTCCTCACGAGAGCATCAACCGGTTTTGAACCGCTTGGACTAATTGGTTTGATTGCGCGGCCTTGCGAGCACGTGTGTAAGATACTTTGCAACGGTAACATGACGCACGTCGACGTATCACCACTATCCAGAAAGCCCGTGGAGGCAGCAACATGAGGTTCGGCCTTGGTCGGCTCAAATCATTGTGCAATGAGAGGCCCACTCCTGTGCTATGAAAATCAAGCCGACAAGCTCACCAAGAGTGTAACAATATCTGGTGAGACTGAACAGATCCTGCAACTCCAAGAGCTTGTAAGAGTTTGGGGGTCAAATTCGGCAAGATTACTCTGACGTTGTTACTGCTTATGGTTTGTCATATCCTCTGTTTTACTACATCTGACGACAATTAGGGGGGTCGCGCAGAGCTCCCGTTTTTTACTAGCGAGTACGGGCTTGACTTGTTCGCCGAAGACTTGATAGTCGAGCGTCTATTTTGCTGAAGCTGCCTCGTAAAGCCGAGAAATGGGTAAAGTAGTGTGTCTGCTTCATCCAATGCTTGCCTTGAGCCAATTACTTTAGTCCGAGCCTAATTTTAGAGGTAAGGTGGTCGAGAAGGGTACAAATGTACTCGATCGCTGTTGCTCATCAAAGAAGTGCTCCCAGAGTGACTCTTCTTCGCAAGTTTCGGTACGGAAAGAGGTGATTGAGTGGTCCACCGCGTTGCGGCGGACGGAACCAAATAAAAATGCATGTTAGTCTGAAGCGATTTATCGAAAGTTGCTGCGACTCCTGCAAGAGAGCAAGCTCGGTATGTCGACCCAGGCCCATGTAACGGGTAAATACTTCTCGACTTTTAAAGAAAACGAAGGATGGTGAACAAGTTGGGAAACTTGCGAGATGGAAGTTGCGGTGAGATGTCATAGCATTATTCGCTGCAGGTAACAGGCACGTGTGCGCAGCTCGTACGGTTCATTTGTTGAATTGGAACAAGTCCCCTAAATTGTACCACCTTACCCTCGATTGTTGCTAGTCATTACCAAAACTGTTTATTCCACATTTATTTCTTTACTGATGAACAGATCTATGCTAAAGGCCACGGTTGGTGCCGACAATAAGGATCACCGTGCGTATTTTCGGGTATGACCATGGGTTTCAGCAGATTAGTAATCGATCAATTTGTCAGCATTAGTCGACAACAACGCGTGCCCCAGTGTCGTGACGATTTGCCATAGCATACTCGCCAATCGTGGATACAAGAGCTTGTGCCTTGAGAAGCATTTCTTCATACTCGTCATTTGGGTCCGAGAGTGCTACAATGGCACCACCAGCACCGAGCGTCACACTGTTTGGGGTCACGATAGCTGTGCGAATGATGATGTTTAAATCACAACTACCATCGATTGATAGAAAGCCTAGTGCTCCTGAATAAATACCACGTGGGCCACGCTCAAGGTGTCGAATAATTTGCATGGTACGCTTCTTGGGTGCACCAGTCATCGATCCACCCGGAAATGTAGCGCGTAACACATCCACAACATCAGTATTTTGCCGTCGTTGCGCACGGACAGTAGTGACGAGCTGGTGAACAGTAGCGTACGTCTCTATGCTCATAAGACGTGGTACGTGTACAGACCCGACTCGTGCGATGGCACCGAAATCATTACGTACAAGATCGGCGATCATCATATTTTCAGCGCGGTCCTTTTCGCAGTTGGCAAGTTCTTCTATAGTGACTGCATCTTCATTAGGATTACAGCCGCGACGACGTGTTCCTTTGATTGGTTTTGATTCCATCCAGCCATTGGATTGCACTTGCAAAAATCGTTCAGGAGATGAGCAACATAATGCATACGTATCATTTGCTGTTCTAGCTTGATCGAGAGAATCGGAAGTTTGAAAACGTTTCTTTGGATCGCTTAAGTAGAACCCCGCAAACGGAGCAGGATTTCGGCGACGCAACATGCAATAGAAAGCAAGTGCATCACGCAAAGCATACTCGGCACGTAAGTGGTTTGTTAAGCACACTTCGTACGTTTCTCCTTCCCGAATTAAACGTTGAATCTCTTCAATGTCAGCCACGTATTGGGCTCGGCTTCGCGATGGACGGAATATAACTTCATCTGTCTGAGATGCGACATTCATACAAGCTGGTGGCGCTTTCACTTTCAGGCGATATGCCACACACATTTGTTTTAGCTGATTCATCATTGAGCTATGCCACTGGCGGCAATCGCTTTCGCTCTCTACTGTGCACGCACTTATTGAGAGTGAGTAGACGACACCATCACGATGATCAAATACTAATGTACGATCAGTAAATAGGAATGACGCGTCTGGGGTACACTCTCGTTGCACTTGCACCTCGTCGTTTTTTAACTTACTGCCCTTTTGTTCGGAATCTAACACTTCGTAACCAAAGTACCCTACAAAGCCCCCGCGAAAAGCAAAAGGCAATGCAGTTGGGGCTACTTCACTACCCTCCAGAAGTACTTGATGGGATTGATGTGCTTGCATCACTTCGCGCACGTGAGTCAAAATATCTTGGTTTCGGCACACTGTAACCTCCTCGTCTTCAACATCTGCTCGTCGACGAAGAACACGAAGTTCTACCTTGCTGACGTCATACTCAACACAGTAACTCATGGGTCCGCTATTATCGCCCATCATTGAAAACCGTGATTGGGTTGCTGCCTCAGTACCGGCAACTGTATCGTAATTGCTACTGTCTAGCCAGAACGACCGCTTGGAGTCTCCAAACATATCACGAAACACAAACTCCGCAAACTCAAGCGATGCGAGTTCTGTAGATGCACGCTGAACCAGAACTCGATACTTCGGAGCTGTCGTTGTTGTCAGGCAATTATAAATATGGTCTTTTTGATCCGGGTAGATGCGATGGTGCAGCAGACACATTGATGCGCATTGAGCTAGCGTCACATCGCGAAAGTTCTGCAAGAGCTGGTAGCCATATTCGCTGCAGACTGCCTCTGGATGAAACTGCACTCCATATTGTATCTTGTCACGATGCTGCACTGCCATGATATCTCCATTAGTTGTCCTTGCAATCACCTTAAGCTCTTTTGGAATATTGTCGGGTTGAATAACCAAGGAATGATAGCGCACCACTTGAAACTCGTTTGGAATATAAGCAAAAAAGGCGTTGCATTCCTCAATAACGACCCTGCTGATACGTCCGTGCATGACATCTCTAGCCTTGATAACTTGCCCACCATAAACATGAGCCAGTCCTTGATGTCCTAGACATACACCAAGTATTGGCACTGTAGCGTATCGAATGGCGTCCGCACACATGCCAAAGTCCTTTTTTTCTGCTGGATGTCCCGGGCCAGGAGATAGAATAACGTTCAGCTCAATCTCTACACCATCTCGTGCTGCAATTTTTGTCGTTTCTTCCACAAAACTGTCCCACGCAGCGACAAAGTGGCCACCAAAGTCATCGTTTTTGATCACTGTGACACTATTCGGACTACCATTCACTTGAGTTAACATTTGCATTATATTGTACGTGTAAGAATCATAGTTGTCAATGAGTAATGAAGCTACTCGACGAGGCTTTTTCTTAATAAAAGCTTTTTCAATCGAGACAGAAGCAGGAACATCATCCATAGACGCCACCATAGCGACTGGAATGTCAATTTAAGCCACTGGATTAGCCAATAGTTTCAAAGTATTAGCACTATTTGACTGGCCCACAATTTACTATTTACCTAAACTATGGTCCATCTGCTGGATCAACCTTCCCGTGCAGCGTTTTGTTTCGATTCCGACGTCGCCGCTTCAGCTGACTTCTCGACAGCCTCAACGGGCTATTATCTTGCTCCTTAATATTTAATTTGCCAGGATTTTGTTTGATACGCTTACGCTGGAAAGAACAGGGCAACGGCATCTCGTCCTCGCCAATAACATCGCGTTTGCGCTTCCCGATTCGCACAAGCTCTACCTCAAAAAATAGCGTCGAGTGCGGCGGAATCTTATCGCCTTTTCCACTTTCACCGTAACCTAATTCGGGCGGAATTGTTAGCAATCGAACTCCACCAGGCCGCATCGTACCGAGACCTTCTTCCCATCCAGCAATGACCGAGCTAGTACCATATTTTGTAGTCAGCATGCCCTTGCCAAACACGAGACCATCCTGTCCAAGACGTCCACGATACTTGACAGTCAGCATTTCCCCTAGATATGGGACCTTTCCTTGGCCAATACGTTGATCCTGAAGCACCAGTCCACTCTTGGTCGTAACTTCACTACCCACATTCTTCTCGTAGGCTGATGCCAGTACTTCCCGACTCTGCATCTCGAGCTCTTGCTCCTTTGTCTGCTGCTCCACCTGCTCTATTGCTTGCCTTTTCTTTAACTTTTTTTGTTCCTTCTCTTTTTTGCGCTTCTCCTTTTCAGTCACATCTTTCGCAATTTGTGTCTCTTTTTCTTGTGTCTGCATCTGACTCCTCTTTATTTGCCGCTTCTTTCTCATCTCTTCTCTCCTTTCAAGCTCCTTCATTTTTGTCATTTTTTGCTCATCTTCATGACGTTCTTTGGCCTCTTGAGCCTCCTTCAGCGCCTTCTCGGCTGCCTGCTCGGCTGTCAGTCCTTGTTTCTTAAGTTTAGCCTTCCGCTTCTTAAGCTGCGCGCGACTCAGGCCTAGTACAGGCTCCTCTTGCAACCTTTCATTTTCCACAGCACCCTCCTCCATGCGGTCTTTAGCACACAATTGAGAAAACAAATTGCCCTCATCCGTAGAGTGCCACGGATGATCCAGGCCCCATGTCTTGTCAGCGCGGCCGTAACCACCCACTCTCACGCGCATATCGGCGGCAAATCGACCCGTACGTGCACAGCTCAGTGAGCGCACACCTTTATTGGCTACAATGGTCGAGTCACTAGCTACAATGATCTCTTCAGCCTCGTTGCCGCGGCGCTTATCGCGACGACGCATGAGCACCATCCTCGTTTTTGGGGTAAATCGGTACAGTAATCATTTCCTTAGGTCCGCACTTGGAAGGGTACGGACTTATCCGAAGGATGCGGACTTAGCGCATTTTCCCACACATTGAACTCTTTACAGAGTGAAGACATGTCTGAAAATTCTCGCGCCGTTCTGACGAAGAGAGGAGGGAAAGGAAACGTTAAGCGAGGCCCATTGAAATTATTAAATAGAGGGAGTTGCTAGCCGCCAAGAAACACTTCCATGCTTAGCCTATTGAGAGAGTATGGTGTTGAAGATAAAATCGTCCGTAATTTTTTGCCTGTAGCAAAAGAAATTTAATCTCGAGCAATTAAGTCACCATGGGACAAAGATCTTATGAATTGGAAGAACACATCACTGGATGACAAACTAAACTTGTTCGTCGAAGGTTTTCGAAGGCTCTATATTGAGCTGCCGCCCTCAATAGTGATATTGAAGCAAAACACATCGCTGAAACGATGGCTTTTTGCAAGAAATTCGGGCTGGTACCGAAATAAGAGGAATGCGATCTGCTTTTTTCACGACGAAGACGGTAATGTCGACAAGAACAAACCTCACACTTTAGTAGCACTGGAATAAGATAATAAAGAATATGGCCCTTATTAACTACATGGATGTAACAAGGCTATTTTTTCGTTTGCTGCCTCGCTGATTTGTCTTGTTACCCTTGTGTAACGGGTTACACGTAATCAGATTGTAACGGAGTTACACGTACCCTTGTATGAAAGGGTGGGTCACAAAAGATGGTGTGGCCGTACCAAAGGTTAGACAAGTCGATGTTATCACACAATGGTGTGGGTTCACCGTATAAAGAAGCCACTACGTGGCAGAACTGTCTGTAGTTATGCATATTAATTAAGTTTTACTATTTCATTAGAAAAAGGTTTTAGATATAGGCGGCTCTGCCGCAAACAAAACAATTAAATCCAGTTTCAATTTTGAGCGGTAGAGCGTATTTGTCTTGGTCAAGATATTTAAATACTCGCGGAATGCTATCCGCTACACTCGTGCTGGTTCTGGTATAGAAGGTAAGGTAGGTGACCTTAGTAAGCTTCCTCTAAGCAAAGAGCTACGGCAGCCCCGCTGCACTTAAGTCCTTACGACTGATCCTCTGTGAGTATGAAGCAATACTCCTATTGCCCCAGGGCATGCAGGATGGGCTTCAGAAGCTGATGTTCCTGCTTGGCTTTGAGGGCGTGCAACACCTTGATTCGCAACGTCCTGAAGCGATAAGCGCGCACCTAGAGGCGATTTCGAACTATGAAAAATGAGCACCTAGAGAAGGAGATGTCGGCGTCCATGACGCCATCGGCGACGACGGATGACTCCTCCCGACCCAGGCCGCTTATGGTGAGCGTTAAGTCTTTCGAGGGTTAGGATGGGGGGTGAGAGAGGCCTAGATGGCTATGACATCCGCCATGCTCAAAAACGAGCAACAGCGCGAGGCATTAGTTATCAAGGGCCGAGCGCGAATATGGGCACTAACGTGCGGTGCTTCAGTTGAAGCTACAATCCCCCCTCAGGAAGGAGCTGAAGCTGCAGCGTATGCGAGTATTCTTGCCGCCTGATCAGGCATATCGGGCGCGATCGCATTTACTTGCTGCCCGACGGGGAGAAATGAAATTACTGAACTTTGTCTAAGAGTTAAGAACTCTCATTGCCGGGACGGCAGCCGGTCCTCTTCCCGAGTCGGTCACAATGATCGTCTTTATGGAGGACCTCCGCACTGTCGTGGCCAAAATGGAAGTCTTCCGTGTGCATCAGTCTATTTTGAAGAAGCGGTGAGTGAGGCATTGAATGCCGAAAGCAGCTATAAGTCGGCACGACTTCGTTGGAATACACACCCTCAGAGCTCGCCGGGCGGGACTGAGCTAATCGATCTTGCTATGCTGAGAAAGAGAAGGGGGACGAGCTGCCGGACAGCGATTCACCATACGATAATATTTTGTCTGTTGAGACACCCGTTACCTTCGGTCTGGTTGTCCCCTGCGCAAGGCGCATCAAGGTTCATCAAACCGACGTCCCGCTTCTAACCAGTCTGGTTTGTCGCGGGGAAATGACAAAGTCCAGTGGGCGCGGGGCGCCCTACTGGGAAGGAACTAAGTTTTGTTGAGCCTCAAAGAGATAGAGGGTAGTAGGGTTCAGCCCCGAAGAGCTTCGTACTCTTGTACCCGAAACGTGTATGCAAGCCGGGCTTGCAGGTCGTAAGCGACTTTGAAGGGCTTTGAGAAGCCATGGAAGATCCAGATCGATTCCGGGGCGTTGGTCAATTATGCTCAACGCTTTACGATCGAAGGAATGCAGTTGCTGCATGCAAAGGGTGGCATGGTCGGACGAGGTCCGAGGCATCCCGGACAAGGCCCTTCTGATGCGCATGAAGTGGCACGTGATCAACTGGACGAAGACTGCGGAAAAAGCAGATTTTCCTCGGATGTTCTTAATAACATTAAGGCTCCGATGGGACAGGGAGTGGGGACACTGGACGACGCTGAGTGCGTGGTCTCGACGAGTGGTAAAACCTCTATAGATAAAAGACGGCGATGCCGTATGTTATCTGCAAGACGCAGGGCGTCAACCCTGGCTTAGGGTGTGCCTACCGTCTTTACGATAGCGCACAGCTATACAGTATGACGAAAGAGGAAGACGGAAACGTCACCCTCGAGACTTTTCCGGCGGTGAATGCCCTTCTTGGGCTGGACGAGTTGTCCCTCGAAGAGTTTGGCGGTGACTTGGAGGCAGGCGATTTAGCCGAGGTGGTCATTATACGACCGTAAGTAGAGATTAACTCATCGTCGCTTCTGGATGAAGCTGTCCTGGAGAACACCAAGAGGGTGCTGATTCTAAAGAAGCCCTCGGATTCGTACTATTTTTTGGTAAAAATAAAACTTCAAGACGTCCCCGCCGTCGGTCCTACCTCCGGACCGAGGTGAGTGTCATGAGATCGACCTGGTTCCGGGAATCAAATACTGCGTAACACGCCAATGGCCCCT